AGAAAAACAAGAGCAGAAAGGGCAGGAAATTAGCTCAAATAAAGTTTAAAGAGGCAAACGTTGTTTAAAATGTTTGATTTTAAAAGAATCCAACAAATTGTGATTATTCGATGTTTCGCCAATTAGTTTATTTAATGACAGCTCAAAACACAGCTGTACTGTAACATGAAATATTTTGCTGTTTTTGGTTCAAGTTTTAAACAATTATTTTGCATAGCTGGCTGTTTTGAATACATTTTTTTATATATGTATATATATATATATATATATATATATATATATCGTGTTTTAGTGTTTTGTGGGAATTTAGATTAACTTTTGTGATAAATGATGTGTTTAATTTCAAACTAGATAAATTAAACTTGTCAGGTAAATCTGAAAATTCTATTAATGCTCACATGGATTTGGTGAAACTGAATAATTGTATTTTCTCTTTAATCCCCCCCCCCCCCCCCCCCCAGGGGGGGGGTGTTCTTGTGATTCCTGCAGGCTGACCTCCTTTAACAAACTGCTGCTGAAGTCTGGGTGAACTTTTACTAATATTTACAGCAGAAGGTTATTGTTGTTGTTGTTGTTGTTGCTGTTGTTGCACAACCAACAATCATGGCCGCCTTGTTTGTACTCCGGACTCGTTTGTTTCCGCGCAGAAGTGACTTTCTTGGGTCTTTGAACGCAGCACGGCAGTGCAGGTAACAGTTTGCGCGTGATCGGTGTGAAATGAGCGTGTCGGTGATGTGCACGAGGCTTTACATTAAACATAAAGACTGGCAGAAAACGCATTTTGTTTCGTTTTGTTGTACGTCTTGTTTTTATTTTATTTTTCGTTTCAAACCACTAGATGGCGCCAAATCACTTTCTTCTGCTGCAAGAATTTTGAGTTTTATGAATTAAATACTTTTATTTCATTATTTTTGATTAACTCGAGCGTTTTACCAGTTCGCTGAATTATTTCGTTGTTTTGTTTCTCTTGTTGACAGAATATATTTTGTTTTAATGTGGGAGTTTTTTTTTTTTTTTTTTACATACCAAATTACAAATTTATCTTTCTAAAATATTTCAAAGTATTTTTTCAAAATTATTTGGTTTTGACTGCTAAGTCTCTCTGGTTCCAAGTCATTTTTATAAGCACATTTTACAGACTGTTTATTAGATTGTTGTTATTTTGGGGTAGCTGAAACTTTTTCAGGCCTCCACGTGTCCAGTGTTTTTATAAAATGAGCAATTTCAAATTCAGCTTTAAAACTTATCTGTTATTTTTCGTAGATTCAGCTGAAGAAGTGAAAACAAACCGTATCATTGTGACATTCTGCTAAAAATCCTATTTAAAAGTCCGTTCTTTGACCATTTGTTTTGTGTCAACCCAACTTTTCGTTTGGGACATTTTTCATACCTGAATGACACAAAGGTCAAAGTTCAGCAGCTTAGCAAACAAACTAAAACCTTCCACTGAAAACTGTAAAGTACGCAGATTTAAAGTGCCTTTTAAAATGAAGCTAAAGTGCAAAGACAAACTGAAAGATCTTTAGAAAGTCAGTAAAGTTCTGATCTGGGTTGCAGCTTTCAGACGCAGTGTTTTCTCACATCTTAATTTTGTTCTCGTCTCCCCGCAGCTCCTCGGTTTCCTCCGGCAGGCAGCGCGTTAACGGAGCTGACGTGTTCTACGAGCAGACCGGTGGAGGGAAGCACGCTGTTCTGCTGCTCCCCGGTGCCCTCGGTAAACGCACCGGGTCTGGGTTTGGGTCAACACCGTTTTTCTTTGTTTACCTCAGGATGAAATCCTCTTTTGAAGCAGTTTATTTTCCACCGCAGGAAGCACGAGGACAGATTTTGGTCCTCAGCTGAAGTCTCTGAATAAGGAACTCTTCACGGTGGTCGGATGGGACCCCCGAGGTTACGGGCGATCCCGTCCTCCGGATCGAGACTTCCCCCCGCACTTCTTTGAGAGGGATGCGAAGGATGCTGTGGACCTGATGACGGTGTGTTGAAGCCTCTCTGGGGCTCTTTTTTTTTTATTAATCCAGAAGAAAAGGAGTTAGTTTCCAGATTACAGGAGCTGGCGTTTCTTCTTCAGGCTCTGGGCTTCAGCCGGTTCTCTCTGTTGGGTTGGAGCGACGGAGGGATCACAGCTCTGATCGCAGCAGCCAGGAACCCTGATCGGATCAACAAAATGGTTGTCTGGGGGTCCAACGCCTTCGTTTCTGAGGCCGACCTCAAGCTCTACAACAGTACTCCGTTATTTTATTGTCCATTTAAACAGACTTTGTGTTCTTAATACAGTTTTTTTTAACTGTGCTTTGTGGGGCATTTTCGTCAGTGGTTCGTGACGTCTCCAAGTGGAGCGCGAGGATGAGGCAGCCCATGGAGGAGATGTACGGAGCACAGGCTTTTGCTAAACTGTGGGAGAGCTGGGTGGATGGCATTGCTCAGTTTCTTCACAGACCAGAAGGTGGGAGCTTCTTGTAGCTGCAAACTCGTCACAGACTTCAGTTTAAACTGATTTTGACTCATTTTTTTGTACATTTTCTGTTACGTTTTTTTGTAGGAAGTATCTGTATGGAGCTTCTGCCACTGATCAAGTGTCCAACCCTGATCATCCACGGAGAGAAAGACCCCATGGTTCCCAGCGTCCACCCTCAGTATCTCCACAAACACATTCAAGCGTCACGGTGGGAGCACACCAAACAGTCTCCTTTTAGTATATTTGTTCCGTCATGGCAGAAAAGCTAAAATCAACTTCTCATTCTCAAGTCTAGGTTGCATTTGATGCCAGAGGGAAAACACAACCTTCACCTGAGGTACGCTGAGGAGTTCAACAGACTAGTTGAAGACTTTCTGGAAGAATGAAGCAGCACAAGTTCTGGCATTTGTCTTGTTTGTGGAACTGAGTCACTAACATCCCGAGTGTTCTTGAGTTTAAATGCCAGATTTAAAAAAGGCAAGTTTAAGCTGAGCTGAAGTGAAATGAATCAAGGTGCTGCAATGATCCAGTCAGAGTCTAGAACCTCCACCTGACTGAAATGCTGGGGTGGGACCTTCAGAGAGCTGAGCAGAAAACCTCAGTGAACTGATGCTGGAAAGAAGAGTGGGACAAAAGTCCTCCTCAACCATGAGAGCGCCTGTCGTACAGGAAACCACGGAGAGTTCCTGCTACTAAAATAGGTTCTGTAATGTAATCACTGCAAAGACATGAAACCAAACCAAAAATAAATAAATAAAGGAACAAAATATGCAAAAATTTCTCACAAACTTGTTATTTAGAAATTGTAAGCAAAATGTGTGCCAGCAACCACAAGTGTTTTAATGACGTAAACAGCAAAAGTGGCTGTAAACCGGACGGTCGTTTAACTTGTCGACCATTTTTCTTTACGTACAAACTCCTGCCAGTCGAACATGTGACTCAAGCTTTCATGTTGTTTGAAAAGTGGACAGTGATTTGTTTTATTGAGTGTGGACCCACAGGTCACAACTGCATAACAATGTAGCCTATCTGAACTGTAGGAGCAAACTTTTTCAAACTGCAACATTTCTTGAAGTTTAGGAAACATTTGCAATATTAAGGGTGATCTTAGTGGTGCTGCAGAGGTTAGAAGATGGGCTTGTGATGGGAAAGTCTCAGGTTCAACTCCCGGTACCGTCAACATCAAAATGTGGGTGGAAAAGGTGAAACACCCACACCTCCCTCCACCCTCATTCGCCCCACCCTGGGCCCTGATCAAGGCCCTTAACCCCCACCATCTGCTCCCCAAACAGGTCTCTCTTGAAAATGAGTTCTCGTGGCTCAATGAGACTACCTGCATAAATAAAGGATACATGAAAAAATATATATTTCTTTGCATTTTATCTTAGTTTTTGTTTAACAAATACAAGGTAATTATTATTATTATTATTAGAATTTTAATTGAAATAGTTTTTAATTTAGTTGTAATTTTTCCTAATTTAACAGATACTAGTACAATAATTATTTTAATTCTGTACAGAGTCCAAGTTATTCAGTTTTTCTTCAGATTACATCTATTATAAATCGATTGCTTTAGTCTGACCTTCGTCATCAGGCCGGTAATGTCTGCTATCGTTTATAACTATCGCAACATTTAAATGTTCTCCTTAGAACGTAGATAAAATCAAAACAGACAAATAATAAAGAACAAAAGGCAGAACGAGACGGACTAATTTGTCCTTGCTCAAATTACATCTGCTATGGATCGATTGCTTTGGTCTGCCAGTTTTCGCTAAACCGGAAGTAACCGCTATCGTTCAAACTATCGCGAGATTTGAGTCTTTCCAAGGAACGTGGATGAAAACAAAATAAATATGAACGAAACGCAGAACGGGACGGACTTCGGAGGCGTTAACGTGCACAATTTCTCCGAGAAGGTCATGGAGCAGGTCGTCCACTTCCACGTGATGAAGCTCAGCGACGGGTTCTTCCTGTGGGTCGGTTCGGCTCCGGTTCTGTCCAACCTGGCGGTCTCCATGAACAGCAGATACGTGAGTAAATGGCGTACTGTTTGAATTAAACTAGACTAAAAGCTTCTTTCAACTTGTTTTTGTCTCCAGGACTCTGTGCCATTATCTTCTTTATTGATGGGGGATCCATCCGACACCGCTGCAAACTCATTGGCACAGAGATTGGGTAAGAACCGCCTCCATCTCAGTATTTTTAATTATAAAATGATGCACATGAGCAGATTGTGTGAGGATAACAGAGCTGTTGTTGATGTTTTAGCATCAGCACTTGAAGGAATGATCAAATTCAATATGATGCTTTGAGTTTAAATCTGACTGATGAGCCCGTTTCCTGGATTTAGTTTCACTAAAATAAAAGTGATGTTACTCCATCTCCATTTACAAACTTGCACCATTTAAATTGGATCCACCAGAACCGTGCTGTGTTTTAGAGAAATAAACATTTAATGGCTCAGTCTTTAATGAACAACAGTAAACATGTTCTGAGAGACCAACGCTTCGCACCCGTTTCCAGCAACTCTATTTTATTTCATAGTAAATTAAAATCTGTTAGCTGACAAGCTAAGTTTTTAAAAAATGTGAGGATAAGAAGAAGATAACTCACCGTGTGCAGGTGTTGTCAGTCCAAAGTTCATCCAGCCCTAAAGTTTCTGCAGGTTTTAAAGTTTTACTCTAAACGGGAACATTTAAATGCTCATAAATGGAGCATTAGCTTAAAAATACCAGTGTTTGGATACAAACCAGTTTTGTGTCTGTTGGGACTTTATACATCAATAATTTCTTGATTTCTGATTCTTCCTACTTGACGGACATGCTGTGGAGCAAACTCGTGCACACCACTGCTTCAAAACCCACAGGGAGAGCCCAAAACCCACTTTACTTAGAAAAGGTATAATTTAATTAATTTTATAAATAAACATTTGGCAATTGTTTACGGTGGATGCTCCTCCTGATGCAACCTGGGCTTGAACCCACAACCTCAGGAGTACAAGACCCCGGCGCTGACCGCCAAGCTACCGCCGTCCTCGGATGACTCTCAGCTACTACCACATCAAACTTAAATGAAATATCTGTGAAAAATGACGGAGTTGTAGCCCACATTAACCGCTGTAGACAGACATCATCTCCCCTGTGACCCAAAAAGGAAACGGTGGTAAAGTGGATGAATGGTAGTCAGAATAAAAATTAAAAAAAAAAGTTGTTTTGTTGTGAAAACTCGGCGAGAACGCTGAAGAAGCAGAAACTGAACTGAAGCTAAAACCCGAAGTATCAAATGCAAACCGGATTCCAAAAAAGTTGGGACACTAAACAAATTGTGAATAAAAACTGAATGCAACGATGTGGAGGTGCCAACATCTAATATTTTATTCAGAATAGAACACACATCACAGATTAAAAGTTTAAACTGAGAGAATGAATCATTTTAAGGGAAAAATCTGTTGTTTCCAAATTTCATGGCGTCAACAAATCCCCAAAAAGTTAGGACAAGTCCATTTTTACCACTGTGTGGCATCCCCCCTTCTTCTTCCAACACTCAACAGACGTCTGGGGACAGAGGAGACCAGTTTCTCAAGTTTAGAAATAGGAATGCCCTCCCACTCATGTCTAATACAGGCCTCTAACTGTTCAATCGTCTTGGGCCTTCTTTGTCACACCTTCCTCTTTATGATGCGCCAAATGTTCTCTATAGGTGAAAGATCTGGACTGCAGGCTGGCCATTTCAGTACCCGGATCCTTCTCCTACGTAGCCATGATGTTGTGATTGCTGCAGAATGTGGTCTGGCATTATCTTGTTGAAAAATGCAGGGTCTTCCCTGAAAGAGGTGACGTCTAGATGGGAGCATATGTTGTTCTAGAACCTGAACATAGTTCTCTGCATTAATGGTGCCTTTCCAGACATGCAAGCTGCCCGTGCCACAAGCGCTCATGCAACCCCATACCATCAGTGATGCAGGCTTCTGAATGGAGCTTTGATAACAACTTGGGCTATCCTTGTCCTCTCTGGTCCGGATGACATGGCGTCCCAGTGCTCCATAAAGAACTTCAAATCATGACTCATCTGATCACAGAACAGTCTTCCATTTTGCCACACTCCATTTTAAATGACCCCTGGCCCAGTGCAAACATCTGAGCTTGTGGAGCTTGCTTAGAAATAGCTTCCTCTTTGCACTGTAGAGTTTCAGCTGGCAACGGCGGATGGCACGGTGGATTGTGTTCACTGACAATTCTTTCTGGAAGTATTCCTGATCCCATTCTGTTATTTCCTTGACAGTGGCATTCCTGTTTGAGGTGCAGTGACGTTTAAGGGCCCGGAGATCACGAGCATCCAGTAGAGTTTTACGGCCTTGACCCTTACGCACAGCGATTGTTCCAGATTCTCTGAATCTTTTGATGATGTTATGCACGGTTGATGATGATAACTTAAAAGTCTTTGCTATTTTACGCTGGGTAACACCATTCTTGTATTGCTGCACTGTCTTTCTGTGCAACAATGGTGGAATTGGTGATCCTCTTACCATCTTGGCTTCTGAGAGACACTGACACTCTGAGAAGCTCTTTTTATACCCAATCATGTTGTCAGTTGACCTAATTAGTGTTAATTGGTCTTCCAGCTGTTCATTATATGCTTAATTTTCTTTTTCCAGCCACTTATTGCTACTTGTCCCAACTTTTTTGGGATTTGTTGACACTGTGAAATTTTGAATCAACATTTTTTTCCTTTAAAATGTTACATTTACTCAGATTAAACTTTTGATCTGTCGTCTATGTTACATTACGAATAAAATATTGACATTTGCCATCTCCACATCATTGCATTCAGTTTTTATTCACAATTTGTTTAGTGTCCCAACGTTTTTGGAATCCGGTTTGTACCTAGCTAAAAGTAGCTAAAGGGTATCTAGGAGCTAAAAGTAGCATAAGAAAAATGGCGCCACTGTGCTCAAACAGATTTGAAGAAATTTAAGAGTATTTCTATGAGTAAAATATTCTTTTTTTTTTTTTTTTTAAATACAAAAGTTACACAAACCAAAAATCAGAGCACCCATCCGGTGAATCAGCTGAATGTTTTGATGAGCAGCTAAAGCAGAACAAAGTTTGCAGAAGTAGCTGAATAGTAAAAGACAACAACTTTGTTTTTGTTTATTTGGCAGCAAAGAGGACGAAGAAACAAGTGTTTGTGAGTTACAGTCTTCCGATGAGCGACTCCAGCCTGAGTCTGCTGGTGGAGAATCGGATAAAAAAGGAGCTGGAGCTTCACCCCGAACACTTTTAAGCTCCCGCACCATCATCGTCATCATCATCCCACAGTAACTGAGCTCCCAGCACAAAAACAAGGACAGCGCTTTCACATCCAGTGTTCTTTTATTGACATTATAAATTAAAACGGTTTATTATCAAAAACATGTAGGCCTATGGCTTTTTGTACAAATGCATCTTATTAAAAAAATAACACTTAAAAAACAGTATTTAGTGGTTGAGTTTTTTCTGTTTCTTTTAGTTCAGCTGTTCAAAACATACAAACTAGTCAACCATACAGTGCTTTTATTTCAATACATGTAATATTTAAAAATGGTCGTACCTGTTCAGTATTTGCACACAAATGTTGGTTTCTGTAGTGGATGTGCTTCAGGTGATGGAGATTACACACCTTCGTTTTATGCGGTCCTAAAGGATGCTCGTATAGTAATGTGTATAAATGTACACGGTCACAACTAGGCCAGGTCTACGCTGCTATACGCTAATCCTCACGTTTATCTCTAAAAAGAGTGAAATGTGCTTTCTCTCTGAAGTTACACGCCCATGGAGCAGAGTTACAACGTTACTACAGTACGAAGAACAAGAAGTGAGAACCTTAATGAAAATATTGGCTAATTAAGGAGGTAATTGCCCTTGGCAGTATTACAAAATAAATACTGGATTTCTTTAATTCCATCAAGTCCAAAAAAAAAACCACAAAAAAAATACATGATAAAGCCACTAAAGCACTGAGATGCATCATAAGACCTCCAAACGTCCGTTCCGCTCTCAGACTTGTGTTCTGGTTTCGTCTAAAGGCTACAGTCTACCGTGGTCTCCGGTTGTTTGATCACAACCATCATGCCTTTACAGCAGCGATGCCCGTTTGAAGATCAGCGTCTACACTGACCCCGTATCCGAGGATAAAGTGCCACTTTGGACTTTTATTCGAGACCACAACTGAAGAACAACACTGAAAGGAAAATTATTCAGAAGTATCTGTGCCCTTTTTCATGCAAAAATATTCATAGTGGATCAACTGAAACCCTGGATTTCCACCGTGTTGGCTAAAGTTCACGAACACTTGATTGTGTCTTTGACATTTAGTGCAAAATAACTTATAAAGACTCATAAGATGCAGAGAAATCCTGTTTCAACAAATCAAAACGAGAAACCCAGTTCATCTGCCGCTCCTTCGCTTGTCTGCACCAGTTTTTCACTTTGTGAAATGCAGGCACGCCTCAATAAATTAGAACATGGATGGAAAGTTTTGTTTTAATTCCACACGGTGATGGGTTTAAAGCAATTATTTCAGGTAAATTTGATCTTTATAGTGAACAGCTGTTGAAAACCCCACATTTGTTCTAGTAAAATTAAGATTATTAAAGGATAGTGATAAAATAAACATTTTTTTAACAGAAATCTCGGCCCACTGAAAGTATCCATTTACTGTGCAGGATGAGTACTCGACACTTGGTGGAGCTGCTTTTCTTATGGATTACTGCATCGATGTGTTGGCTGGAGACCTTCAGCCTGTGGACGTGCTCAGGTCTTCTGGAAGCCCAGTATATTAAATTAGGATATTAAGAACTAATAAATTGGTTTTTCAAGAGCCACCACACACAGACGGATCCAGGACGTGGACTCCAACCGCCCAATTCCTTGTATCGAGCCTCTTGAACCAGAGACATGAGAAGTGTCCTAACTGGGCTAAGGACACAAAGGACTGGACTGTTGTTCAGTGGTACAAAGTCAATTTAGCATTTCCTTTGGCTGACGAGCTTTATGCAGGCGCTGACTGGACTTTGCAGCTAGGCCTGTCACGATAACCAATTTTGCTGGCAATTAATTGTTTCAGAAATTATTGTGATAAATGATAATATTGTTTGAAATTTGACAATAATTAGTAATTAATTTAAGAAGAAATGTTTTAATTTTTGAGTGTAGTACCTTTGTTTGACCACCGGATGGCAGTATAAGACTGTTTGAACCGAAGGATGGATAGTGAGGGAGCGAGCAGAGTGTCTCTAAGAAAATGGGAGGGAGGCCCCTTGACGTGACATGGGCTGTCTCTCCTTCCTTTTTTTCAATTCTCAAAATGGCGGACGCTCAGTGTGGTTTGAGCTCTTTAGCATAGCATTTTTCACACGAAGCTTTTAATTAAAAAATTGTAAACAAGTTCTCAGCTACTTTTTGCAGAGAAAAACAACTTTTTATACGAAGACACGGGTTTCAACCGTGAATTTTGGAGCTTCGACAAGACAGAGGTTTTTTCTCCCCGAGGTCGGCCTGTTAGCTTAGCTCGTAGCTTAGCTTCTCAGCTTAGCTGCTTTTAATGATCCAAAAATGCGATTTTGGACGGTTAAAACAGATTTTAAAAAGAAAAGTGAAAGAGATTTTGTCATCCAGTGTCTTCAGTAGAAAGAGAGAGCGGCACTAAGGAACGAAGCCAATAAATGAAAATTATTGACCTCATTTTAATTTATCATGCGATTAATTGATTTATTGTTTATCGCAACATTATTTGCAGCAGGACTGGACGCCTGCCCACACTGCTAAAATGACCAAAGCCTGCCTTAAAGACTCCTCATACCATCACTGAGCTTCACTGGCAGCAAACTGGTCGGACCCAAAGCCCACAGAAAAAAAATCTCTGGGGTTAGTTATCAAGAGGACGATGAGACACCAACAATATAGACAAGCTATATATATATATAATCTTGTTCTGAGAAACTCAATTAGGGGTTCTCATTAGCTGTTTGTCATATCATGAAATCCATCACTGTGTGGAATGAATGAACTCAAGTCAATCACTGATATTAACTTTTCCACGATATTCTAATTAATTGAAATGACAAGAAAATCACCACCGGCACACTGACTTCAGAGAAACTCACAATATTTTTTGGCAACTCCTGAATGAATCATTGTCACAAAATAAGTTCACTTCTTTTTCTTTCATTGTCGTCATCTCAAACCTCACTTTGTCAGAGTTCATCTGGTTCGTCTGAACAATTTTGATCCCTTAAAGGTTTTGTTGAAAAGCTGCTCGCTCTCTGGGTACCGCGGCACCAGTTTTTAAAATTTGCACAGTAGAAGACTATTGCTCTGAAGCTCAAACCCCGTTGGCTATGGCACGATTTCCAATCACCTCGCCACCGGTGGCGAGAGCGTACGAGGCCGGCACCGCTGCCAGAGCGGTGGCTGCTGCCACAGTGGCGCTCCCCGTGGCCATGAGGTGTAACGGCGTGTCATGAACGCGGGAGTAGTCCCTGTCGCACTTGGCGAGGAGGAGGTGCTGCTCTCCGGGATGGAGCAGAGTCTGACGGGTGAAGGTCTCGCCGTCGGCCAGGCTCTCGGGGAGGGGCTGACCCCGCGGCTCCGGCAGCAGCAGCAGGCAGATGATGCACAGCAGCGTGCAGCAGGCGAAGATCACGTGATGCAGAAAGTAGCCCTTCTGGTTGTGGAGCTCCATGATGGGGGCGGTGAGCATCCCGAAGCCGGCGCTCGCCAGGACGAGGCCCAGACCTCCACCCCTTCAGACAAAAACAAGATTTTTTTTTTTTTTTTAAACGATGAGAAATGATGCATCTTGCCACAAAGCAAAGAGTGTTTACGGGAGATGATTTAATATTTTCTGTCAAAAGTTATACATTTCATAGCTAGGGCTGTCGTCATAACAAATCTTGCGGAGCGATTGTCTCAGAAATTATCGCGATAAACAATAATAATGTTTGAAATGTGACTAATTGTAATTATTGTCAAATTTAAGAAGAAATGTCTGTTAATTTGTTTCGAGTGTAGTAAGTTTTTTGCCCACCGGATGGTAGTGTAAGACAGTTTGAACTGAAGGATGGATAGTGAGGGAGCGAGGAACGTGTCTCTTTAAGAAAAATGTGAGGAAGGCCCCTTGACGTGACATGGGCTGTCTCTTTTCGGTTCTCAAAATGGCAGACGCTCGATGCGGTTTGAGCTCTTTAGCAGGGCATTTTTTCACACAAAGCTTTTAATAAAAAAATCAGTAAACAAGTTCTCAGCTTCTTTTTGCAGATAAAAACAAATTTTTAGACGAAGGCACGGGTTTCAACCATGAATTTTGGATCTTCGACAAGACAGAGGTTTTTTTTTTCTCTAGGTCGGCCTGTTAGCTTAGCTTGTAGCTTAGCTGCTTTTAACGATCCAAAAACGCGATTTTGAACAGTTAAAATGAATTTTAAAGAGAAAGGAAGGGGTCAGTGAAGAGCACCGGACTTGAGCCTTTTGTCATCCAGTGTCTTCAGAAAGAGAGACACAAAGAAACGATAAAGCCAATAAATGAAAATGAGGTTGATAATCGTGATTTATCATGCGATTAACTGATTTATTGTTAATCGCGACAGACCTATTCATAACTAGAAACCCTGGATGTTGCTTGTAAGTTATATTTCTACCACTAGGTGGTGCAGTTATCACTAATGATATAATGAAGTAAAGCAGGTCTGACCTTGTGCTTAAAAATCTATATTTCATTCTACAAGCAGCAAAACAGATGTTTATGATGTGCAGACTCACCTAATGACAGTTGGGGTGATTTCTGCGCAGAAGAAGATGCTGAGTGTGCTGACAGCATGGGAGGAAAACATGCCGATGATGGAGAAGGCCACGGAAAATTTCCTGTTCAGAGTGTCTCTCAGAACTGTGCAGAAGTCGGCATCAACACATCAAAACACAAACCAAAGCAGGAAAACTCGTATTAGTGTCAAGGTTTAACATTTAAACAAGTCATTTAAAGTTATAGATCACAGTAAGATGCAGATGTACCTGTGTCGTGGCGAAGGCTGTATTTTCCAATCACTGAGAGCAGGGATAAAAGGGGAGCAAGTCATTATTAAGCACAACGAGCCGAACACTGCTGACTCAAAACAAGCAGAATAACGGGAACAGTTTACCACAGGCGGCTGAATTAATGACTGTGCTGCAGATGTAGGTCAGAAATGCAGAACTGCAGACTGTGCTGTTGTAATAACGCGGGAACAGCCGGCAAAGTGGGCTGGAATGTTGTCCTCATACCCAACATGATTTCATAAACTGTTTAAACTAAGAAGATGCATTTCTAAATGCTTTAGGTTTGTGCATTTTCCAAGGTGGGGTTAGTCCAAAGGCTACAAAGTACTCGTAATGTCAACCAAGATTTTATTAAAGATTTTTTTTAAATCCCATCTAATCTTAGCCAGCAGAGAAGATGCTGAAGCGTGATTACTTACAGTTCAGCAGCCCCAGCTGTAGTAGCGATGCCAGAGCTGTGATGATCATGAAGGCGAGCAGCCCTCCACGTCGACCCATCAGTCCCACCGCGGGGCAAAGGGCCAGGCAGGTCGCCACGGCGATGCCAGCCATGGTGTAATAATCGGCGTGGCACAAAGCTGTGGGCTGGGCCTCCGGGTCCATCATGCTGCGGGCGAAGCAGTGGTGAATCCCATAACCTGTCAGACTGCACAAACCGCCACAGGTTAGGCGACAAGGCGAGCGAGGTTTACATCCACAGAGGGAGAACTTGTGGCTTTGACACTCACGAGTTGACGCACAGCACCACAATGTTCTTCCACAGGTTCCTGGTGCTCATCATCTTCACAATGCAGCTCCTCTGGGGCTTCCTGTGCAGCTCCTGCTCCAGCTCTGGTAGGAAACACGAAACTCAAACCTTCAGACCTCGTTCTTTTCACAGGGTAATGAGACGCCGGCCACCAAGGGACGTTTCAGCTCAGAGAAACTAAAGTGCTGTGGTGCCCGACTGACGCATCACTTCACAGCTTCATGTCACCTGCTGTCTGCTTGGCCAGAGATAGACATAAGCTCTAAAACACTCTTATGGAGGAGGAAGGAGTGTTGGCGCCAAGGACCGGAAAGACAGATGGAAAGAAAATGTTGAAGGGCTGCTCCAGTTATCACCAGCTATTCTGGTTTTAAATTAATCGTTGGAAGAATAAAGTGCAGCTCTGGGCTCACATTTTACTGGTTAGACAACGACTACTTGCTTTGAACATTTTCTAAAATGGACTGACTGATTCTGTCACTGTGACTTTATTGATCTTGCATCGGATATCTTTGACCATCTGAAGGTGAATGCTCAGATTGCAGTTGTATTTCATCATGTGGACAGATTGAGAGGGGTTGCTTTAAACTGTCTAAGTCTTTGTGTTCGTTAAGGTTTTTGCATTTGTTGCATGTTCTTTTCAACACAAACCAAGAGCAGCTGTAACGGAACAAATTACAGGTTATGCTGATGACGGTCTGTTATATTTATCCGTGAAACCTGATTAATCCAAGCAGTTACTTAGATTACAAGCATGTCTTAGAGGCTGCACTTTGGCTGGTCTTGTTGTTGTTTTTAAGTACGTTATAAATAAAGTGGTATGATATGGTTCATAAAAATCTGAATGACTTAATTTTCTGCTTTTAAACTCAGACAATTCAATTAAAAAATACTTTAATAATCCCAAAGGGAAATTAATTGTTGATGTAGCTCATAGTTGTTATAGATGCTAATGGCTTTGGGCAGGAACGATCTCTTGTGGCGGTCCGTCCCACAGCAGATCTGAGGAAACTGGCTGCAGACGCCGATCTGTCCACCCAGACCTCTCGGTCCTCTTGGGCAGCAGGACTGCCTGAATGTCAGGCAGAACTCCTCCCCCAGCGATGGCCATTTCTCCCAGTAACTGCCGCACCCATCGTCGCCGCGGACGTTACTGCAGGTGTCCAGGGACGATCGCGGTCCTCCCGCTGACACGAGCTGCGTTTCTCACTACCTCCAAGATCTCGGAGGTCAGGCACTCGAGCACCGCATCCAGATAGACGGAAATGCATCCACGGCACCTCCTTTTCAACTTATTTGGATTTGGGGTTGTAGTTGAGGTATTAGTTGAGCTTTTGAAATGTTAATCAGCTGCTCCCAGTTGTAGAAAACCACCTTGTTGTTATGGTTACGCATCATAACAAATGTCCAAAAGTAAAAAAAAATGTTTCAGTAAAAATCCTTCCAGCAGCACATCATCCGATACCAGAGGATGCAATCATCTGAAAAAAGCGATTTACATCCAGAAAAAAACAGGACTCACAGTCTTCAAAAGCAAAATTTCAGAATAAATGCAAGAGAGCTGCTCCAACATGCAGCCACCTTGAGCGGCGCAATTCTAGAAACTAAATCCACAGGAGTTGTTTGAACACAACTAATCTCCATCTCATGTTAAAGACCTTTTTGTTCCATATTTTCCTGAGCACTTTGCTCCCAGACTGCAGGTTTACTTGTGGTTCCTAGAGTTTCCAAAAGCAGAATGTGAGGAAGATCTTTCAGTTCTCAGGCTCCTCTCTTGTGGAACCAACTTCCAGTTTCTGTCCATGAGGCTGACACATTGTCCAGTTTTAAGATTAGCTTTAAGTCTGTGCTTTTTGATAAATCCTATAGTTGTGGTTGGCTTGGGTTTCCTGAAATATCCCTTATTTGTGTTGCTATAGGCTTATACTGCTGGAGGACAAACTGACCACATTTCTTAACTTGACAACTCATCCTGACCCTGGTTCTAGTTCTGGTTCTGCAGGAGGTTTCTTCCTGTTTAAAGGTAGTTTCTTCCCACTGTCGCCTCTGTGCTGCTCAGGATGGGAGACCGCATCAAAGTGAAGACATGATGCAATCTTTTGGCATCTTCAATAACTTTCACTAACTGGTCTTTATACCATATGTGAATGTTTTGTTTTATAATAAGAATGAACTGACTGTTATTGGATTTTAATCTAGATATGATCTGGATTTATGATTTGGACTTTGTTTATAATGCCCTGAAAATGTTTTTGTTGGGAATTGCAACCCTTCACAAATGAACTAATTTGAATTAAATAGGTGCTTATTTAAAGTAATTCAAGAATGAAGTTGGTAAAGCTGCAGAAAACAGTGAGTTTGGAGGTTTTTGTCCTTAAAACGCACCTGTGAGAACGCCGCTGGGCTCTGATGTCAAGTCAACCTGGTTCTTCCTGGCGATGCGCAGCATCATGGCTTTGGAGCGCTTGTAGTGCTGGGTGGCCAGCAACCAGCGCAGAGATTCAGGAAAAATCCTGCAGAATGAGAGGGACGGTGTGAAGAAAGAGACAAAAGATGAGAACACAATGTGCTGCAAGAGCCACAAGGACAAAAAGGAAGAAGAAAGAAAGTATTGTTTGTCTGTTGAGTGCTTGTACTGTGTGAAGCGGTGTGACTGTACAAGCCATCGCCTGGCTCAGTGTGGCAAGAATATGCCCCCCCCTGCTGGGGATGTCTTCAAAGGGCGGGACTCACCAGACGTAGGGCAGCATCAGAACAAAAGGACTGATTATGACGATCTGCAGCACCTGCCAGTCCTCCCCGCTCGGCCAGTAGCGGCACAGAGCGGCCACGGCTGGCATCAGGAGCTGCCCGCCCACCTTCAGAAAGCTGGCCACCATTGTCATGGAGAAACGCCAGGCTGGCAAACAAAGCTCGATCCCTAAATAAAGACGCAGAGACAGAAAATACGGAATAGCTTCACGCTGTTGCACCAAGACAGACGAGGAAATTAAACTGTTTGGATGTGATTTCTCTCATGAGCAGGAGGTTAAAACATGGAAACTGTGTTTAGCGCTGGCGTTTCCTGATCTTAGTTTCACTCTTTGAACTTGTAAAAACCTCCAAGTTAATTTATTTCCCCTCCCGTCCTCTACCGTGGTACATTCCAGATGGTCCGGCCCATATGAAGGTGACTACTGCTGGTGTGTGAAGAGTGACCTTCATTTATTTATTATTATGGAAAAATAAGAAAAGATGGGTGGAACAGAGATGACTTTATTTATTAGAAGCCTAAAAAAGTTCCATCCATTCTTTAGTTAAGTAACTAAAGGACAGCAGAGACTTGCACAAAAAGGAGAAAAGCAAATCAGAAAGAGGATAAAGAGATCGGATTATTTAAATTAGGCCAAACTGTTCAGTTAAGAACAAAACTGAACGCAGAGGAGTTAAAGGCATCTCTCCATCTCTTTTTATAAAAGTCGCCCCCTGCAGTTCCAAAAACGTGAAAAAGGAATCACTCCCACCCATCGTCTCTCTCCTGACCATCTGCTTCCTTCTCTTGGAGCTGCGTCACTCAGAGCGAGATTCAGAGAAATATTTCACATCAAACACAGAAGACCCACCTGTCCCAACAGAGACGGTATTTGTGAAAATAGTGGTTTGGTGAATTGTTTTTAATAGTGTGAATGTTTATGAAGCATTCACTCTATTGTGATTCATTTTTCGTCCGTACATTTTTCAGCATCTTTCTCGTTCCACAGTTTTTAAGCCATTTCAACAAATCATAAAACATTCGGCTCTTTCAGGACAATCCTACTATGACTTTTGGTTTTGGTGCAACTTTAGCCTTTTGAAATATTTAGCCTTTTCTGACACATTTTTCTCATAGAAAATGAAATGAGCTCATTTTACATCCTTCAAATCTTTAGATTTGTTTGTGTGTCTCTTTTGTTCTGGTTCAGCTTCTTTCAGCTTCCTTCTGCAAATTTAAACTTTTTTCAGCTACTTTCAGTTCATTTCAGCTGTTTTGTGATCCTTTTAGATTATTTCTAATTACATTTTTGTGCTTCTTCTAACTTCTTTCTACTAAGTTCAGCTTGTTATACTCCTTTCAGCTTATTTATGCAAGTTTCAGCTTTTTCTGCTATTTTAGATATTATTTAGCCATTTTTCTGCAAATTTTAGCTTTTTCAACTAATTCTACATGTTTTGCACTCATTTCAATGTTTTTTTTATTTTTGCATAGTTCAGCTTTTTTCAGATAATTTCCTTTTTTTTGTGGCTAATTTTAGCTTCTTTCAGCCTAATTGGGCAAACGTGTTCTTTCTGCTTTCTTATGCTAATTTAAGCTTGTTCTACCTTTTCAGCTACGTTTTTAGCTTTTTTTTTATAGCTAATTTCAGCTGTTGATAAATTCCATTTTTTTGTGGTAATTTCTGCTACTTTCAGCCTAATTAACTTAGTTATGCTAATTTCAGCTTGTTATGCTCCTTTCAAGTTATTTTTGCTACTTTCAGCTTTTTCTGCTGTTTCAGCTACTATTTAGCTGTTTTGATGCTAATTTAATCTTTCAGCTAATTCCAAATTTTGGGGGCTCATTTTCAGCTCTTTTTGCTTCCTTCTGGTAGATTAAGCTTCTTTATGCCTTTTCAGCTATTTTTCAGCTACCTTTTGCTAATTTCATCATTTTTAAGCAAATTTCTGCTTGTTTAAACCTAATTCAGCAAATATGTGTTTTTGCTTTCCCTTCTATACAAACTTAAGTTTGTTCTTCGATTTCAGCTCCATTTCAGCATTTTAGCTCATTTCAGCTGTTTATCAGCAAGTTATTCTGCAATACGCATTTACACTGCATTTTTGTAAGAAATGCAATTTCTCTTAGTTTATATTTAAAATTAATGTGTTCTGGCATCTGGTGTTTTGAGATTGCAGCGTAAATCTTTCTGTTTCTCCTGATCTCATATTTTTCTCATCAGTTATATCATAAAAACCAACTGGATGCAAATATCCCGTTTTAACTCAGGATGGCTCCTAAAAGAGTCAAATGCCCTTGAAGTAAAAGATTTATGGTAAAATGCTAAATGTTAAAAGGATTTTCCATAAGAAGCACATTTAGCAGAAGAAACACTAACCAGCCTTAATCTTTGTTGTCCTGGGTCTCAAAGAAGTCAGAAAGTAACCACTGGATTAACAGCTGAATAACTTCATAATCAAAATGTTCACCCCAATTAATCAATCTTAGCAGACACTGAGCTACGACTCAGTTATTTTTATAGATATGGAGCTAAGTGTGACAGCTGAGCTTCATCCCCAACAAAAACCCTGAGCACTGATCTTTCTTTAAAACACTGACATGCGAAGCTGCAACGATATGAACAGGGACTCCTGCTTTATTCCATAATGTATTCAGTAAAACCCCAAAGATACGATGGGTCGGTCGAATGTTTGTTAATTTATTTTTTTTTGTAATTCATCTGTTCACAGGACTCACAGGGTCAAACTTCAGAAACACTCCTGCAGATGAGAGAAATCAGTGATATTGTTATGAATGAGCTTCAAATGTTACAAAAAAAGTGTTAAAAAAAACAACTGGACTCATTAAAATTTCATTAAAACTCATAAAATCATTTTTTAATAAATGGGGTACCCCACAGTACCCCCCCAACAACAGCTTCTCCTCTGACTTTACATCTGAAAGTTACTGCGGCTTCACAGAATCAAGACCAAAAGAGACAAAAGCAGACGATCTAATGAGCAGATTCCTCTTTAATGACAAATATCTGACGCTCTCTCTCACACGTGTGCTGCTGCCTCACCACCATGGCCTGGGGCATGAGACCAAACTGAAGGGACATGAGTTCAGTCAAAGCAGGCGGTGGATGTTTGATAAACAGCAGCTGTGAAAAAACACGAGCTTCAGATCTGATGCTGAAAGACGCCGTTTAATCCGTCAGTCAATGGAGAAAAAGTGAAATGAATCCCCACAACCTTCACCATCATTAATGGATAACAACAAGGAGGAAAGACATCAGCAATGGCTTCAAAGAATCAATCTGGGAAAGGTCAAAGGTCATTTTTAAACCATCATTTGGCAGAGGGAAAGATTATTCACAAGTGAAAAACGTTTAAGACGGCTGCCTGTCTGTACAGGAAAGGCAGCAAATTCACCCCAATGGTCAGACCATGCAGTGCTCAGATATGAGCTAAAACCGAGACTCTGCAGGCTTCAGTCAGCAAATTAAAGGTCAAAGGTCACGGCTTGTTTTGAAGGGCTGCAGGAGAAAGTTTCTTCTTACTAACAGCATCGTGGTGGGTTTGCATTTTTCATATTTTAAGTGATTTAATATTAAAAAAAACACACTGCAGCTGGGAACTTAGGGCCAAAAATTGTCAAATCACTTTGGATTTGGAGAAAGTCCAACAAAGAAGCGCTGCAAGCTTCACAATCTGGAATTTCAGAGAATTATAGGATAAGAAGTTTGATGAATTCTAACTGCAGATGCCAGGTTAGGTTAGTCCCATTGAGCCATTAGGACTCATTTACAAGCATATTATTATTTTGTGTAGATGAAATAAAGTAATGAAAACCCCTCTGCTGCAGCCTCAGCGAGGATCAAAGACTGGAAGGGAAACACTTTAAACGTCTGACAAGGTCACATCCGCATCATCCTGCTGAGTCAGCACAAGTCCTCATCCTCAGTCATAAAATCACACACACGTACACACTGCGACACACACCGCCACATTTATCATCGGCCGTTCGTCTCTGAGAGGCAAGGACAAAGAAGCTAAAATATTAACCTCAATTTACTGGTCAATAAATCAACTACAGCCAGTTATTTGTGATTTATGTCACTTTCACCCATTTGAGAATGTAAAACAATGTAAAAATAACTCCAAAACCATCAATTACAAAACGTTAAATGAGGAAATTTAAAGAAAATCCTAAACTAATCGTGAGGGAAACCAAAAAAAGTTCACGTTTGACCACTAAAAACAAAAACGAGGAAGTCTGATTTTTTTTTGTTTTTTTTTTGTTTGTAATAAACTCCTGAAAACATAATTTAACACAATATTTGTATCAGCTGTCGATTCAAAATCCAGTCAGGAGCGTTTGAGTTTGGATTTTTCTGCTCCGACGTTTACTGGCAGACCAGCTGTCCCCGCCCTCAGTCTGCATCACTTCCTGTTTTATTTTGTAGAAACAGGAAGTTGCCTTCGGTTTAGAGTCACACACCTGCAGCTTCTTGTTTGTTTCTCCTCTGTGTACGTTCAGTCTGTTTTAAACCTGAATCTTCATTTTAGTTTGGGATTTTGATTGTTTTATTTCTTTGTTTAGCATCGCTGAGTCCAACATTCAAATCTTTATTGACCATTTTGGACAAACAAAACAAACTTTTTATTAGCTAACATTATTTATGCCTCCTGAAGAAACATTTTGGGGCTGTTTCCGTGTACTAGTACATAACTCCTGCTGCTAAATGCTCCAAATTATTATAGAAGAGAGCGGGGAGGCTCATTTTAGGAACATCTTCTTGTTGCAACTACCAGACACATGTTCCTCTTTTTTTGTAATTTATTTGAGAATTTGTTTGCACAAAATAAACGGTGAAGCAGCTCAGCTTCTAACTGCTACAAAAAAATGTATTTTTGGACCAAAAACCTGCTTTGTTTTGGAGTAAACGATTTAAAATTAACTAGTACTGTTTCATATTTTCTGTGCTTTTTAGCTATCCTGGAAGGTGGTGTTTAATTCTTATATCTTGTTTAGATCTTTCTCAGCTTTTTAAGCACAAACTCGCAACGCTTAAATATGACGAGTTCAGTGCAAATAGTTGAGCGAAAGCCTGGAGAGCTTTTACTCTAAACCAGTCCTGGTCCTCAAAGGCCAATATCCTGCATGTTTTAGATGTGTCTCTGCTTCAACACAGCTGATGTGAATTAATGAGTGATTAACGGGCTTCTGCAGAGCTGGAAGATGCAGAGAAACCACTAAAACATGCTGGATTGTGGCCCTCAAGGACCTGGACTGAGAACCAAAACCAGACTTTTCTAGAGTTTATGAAAGTAGAAAGGCCAAAGACTTCAGTCCGTGTCGATACGGAGCATAAATGGAGGAAAATAACCAAAGATGGCTGCTCTGTTTATCCTAAAAGATGATTTAAATATAGTCAACAAAAAGAAATGCCATAAACAAGTCATTATGTCATTTGTTAGGCAAATTAAAGCCTTTTCACTGCTGCAGGGAGTGCTGCAGTGAGGTAATCAAACGAGGAGATTTAAAACGGGCAATGAAAGGAGGAGGAGGAGGAGGAGGAGGTGAAGGGGAGCGGAGAAGCTTGGAGGTAAAATGCAAAGAGGCGGAGGAGTTTGAAAACTGTAATGATTATTATGAGTTACCAGCAGAAGGACAGAGGAGGTGATGAAGCAGGTGGAAGATAAATCCTCTACATTCAGCTATAAGCACCTCATTTACTTTACATGATTATATTTAAAATTATTTCATTTATTATCGGGCTTCAGCTTTGAAGTGCAGTTTTAAAACCAGATATTTTGGGCTTATTGTGTTTAAATGAAACCTGGTTAAATGGAGGCTTTTAACGCACTGTAGGAGGTTAGCATCCGTTACGGACGTAAACATCTGAGACGTTTCCTACGCAGACCCTCTGCGCACGCTGCAGCAGAAAAGTAACAAATTAACGAGGATGTTTGAGAGTTCAGTCAGGCTGATAAAATGTGTTAAAAAAAAAAACTACAGCAAGAAGCAAACATTGAATATTTTGGTGGGTTTTACTATAATTTCTATCAGATGACGATGTACTTTAAATATTTACAGTACAGTTTAGTTACAGTACTACAGTACTTTACAGTACCAGTTTTAGCTACTTTTATTGTCTTGCTATATTTGTTACTTTCTCTAGCTTTAGCCACAATTTAGCTACTTTTAGCTACATTTCGCTTTTAACTACGATTGTACTACCGGTAATTGTGTTGTTTTGCTAGTGTTGATCATTTTGATTTCTAGCTAGGATTTTGCTACATTTAGCTTTTGGCAGCAACGTTTCTAAAATTATCTTTTAGCTTTAATTGTAATTTAATTTTGTTTGTGTTGCTGATTTTAGTGTTTAGTTATATTTTTGCCAACTGTAGCTTTTAGCTGTGGTATTGCTACATTTTTAGCTACTATTTTGCTAATTAAAATTTAGTCGAGTTTTCTCAATTTAGCCTTTAGCTACTGTTTGGGTAATTTTAGACTGCAGCTATGATTTTGCTAATAATAGTTTTGGGCTACTGTAATGTAGACTTTGTCTTTTAGCTATTTTAGCCAACTTTTATTTTATTCAGCACCTCAGCTGAAAGTGAACCCTTCATTCAGCTCTCAGCATTTATTCCATATTTTAGCAGGAATTGTAATTTCTCTGGTTTAAACGTGATGAATTCCTCTGAACAGGAGGTAAAGCTTGAAGTAGTTTGAAAAAAAAACTGAAATTTTCTCTATATTCAGTGACATAGGAGTGGTGAATGTACACACCAGCTCTAATCTGTGACATTAATCTTAATCTCTAATGCAGCTTTGAATTTAAGCACCAAAACCCATTAGTTTGTGCCCCATTTGCTTTCAGTTTTAACCTTGGGGAGGCTGCGTTTGTTTATAGAAGGGCTTCATTTGAGATTTATCTGGGGACCCCTGCAGAGGGAGACGGGGAGGGGGGGACGAAAGAAAACCTCCCCCCAGGCCGAGCTCAGTCTGCCTGAGATAATGTGAGTGAAAAAGGAGGGGAGGTAGGGGGAGAAACGGATCAGAACACTTGGATCAGTCTTTCCTGCTAATAAAAAAGAAAATAAATTCAGAGATTAACAGAAATCTGGTCAAATTGGGAAAAAAAAATAAATATATATATATAGTACAAATGTTTTTTTTAAGATCCTTTTCTGTTGATAAATGGAGTTGTAGCTGTTTGAGTCAAAGCTGTAAGCTGCTGACTAAACTGTAGAGACCCAACAGGTCTGGCAACCCACCAGAGATGAAGGTACAGAGCGTGTCTGCTGGAGCGCGAGCGTTTAAAATAAAAACATTCTGTTTTGAGGCTTCATGTCAAGATGAAACGGATCCAGAGCGAGGACGGAACGAGATGAAAGCTTTTACTTACTGAGCACGAAGAGGGAGAGAGCGAGGCCCGCCAAGCAGAAACCCTCAAAGAACCGCAAGGTGCTGAACATGGTGACGTTCACAGAGAAGGCCACGCTCAGACCGAAGACCAGCATGAAGAGCGCCGAGAGGATCAGCACCGGGTGGCGACCAAACCTGGGAGACAGAGGAGCAGCGGAGTGATGGAGAGAGACGGGAAGTCAGCGGTTTGATTCTGTTTGATCTCTCAGGAAACGCTGAGTCAGCATTTGCATGTTGCAACGTTTTGGACTAAATACTTTTGCACAATTTTATCTTTTTTAACAAGACATGTATCAAAATGGTCAGCCCATTCAGGACATTAGAGCTAGATTTTTTTTTTTTTTTGTAACATTTATACTTTTTCAAAAATTTAATTTAATTTTGTATTTTTTTTTGTTGAGATGAAAGAACTCTTCGGTAAAACAGTAGCTTTTACATTGTTTGGCTGATTTTAGCTTTTAGCAACCGTTTTGCTGATCTTGTATTTAGATTCTGCCTTTTTAGTTTTAGCTGCTCTTGCAGGTATTAGCTTTTAGCTACTGTTTGGCTGCTTTTGTGCTCATGTATTAGCTTTGGGGTATGGCTTTGCTAAAGTTATGTTGAAGCTACTGTTTTGTTGATTTTGGCTTTTAGCTCCTGTTTTGCACATTTTAGCTTTTAGCTACTGTTTGGTTGGTTTTAGTTGTTGCTTTGCTGGCTTTTTTTTTTGTTTTGTTTGTTTCAGATTAGCTCATTTGAGCTTTTAGCTACTATTTTGCTGATTTTAGTTTAGCTATTGTTTTGTTGGTTTAGCTACTCTTGCTGCTGTTAGCTTTAAGCCACTCTTGCCATTTTCTGCTGCTGTTTTGCTGATTTTAGCTTTTATTCTGGACATGTTCACTTTGAGAAATCAGCTTCGGCCTTTTTTTTTAAACAAACTTCAGCCCTCATTCAGTTTCCTTCAGACTCTGTGAACTTCCTGGTTTCATGGAGGGGTCAGAAGGTCAAAAGGTCAGGAGGTCAGGTCATGGGAGCCATTATTACAGATTCTGAACACAAAGTAGTAACTGTTTCTCCCACGCTGCAGCTCAGGAGGACTGTGAGCCGCCCAGGGTGACTTTAACCAGCTGAAGATCAGTTTCTGAGATTTATTTCCTCCTAAGAAGAAAATTCTGAGCAGTTTTTCCTGGAATTACTTGGATTTATCCCATTTAACACGTCTTTTCCAGTAAAGTATGTGAGGATTAAAGAAAGCTTATGTAACTGTGATAAAACTCACAGGAGGCCGTCCAAGGATGACATTAGTCAACGTTACATAAACGACTACTAGCCAGAAAGTTACTGTAAAATCATTCACAGTACTAATACTGAATCTGTACTCGCAGTACTAATACAAAACCCGTACTCGCAGTACTAATACAAAACCCGTACTCGCAGTACTAATACTGAATCTGTACTCTCAGTACTAACACTGAATCTGTACTCACAGTACTAATACTGAATCTGTACTCACAGTACTAATACAAAACCCGTACTCGCAGTACTAATACTGAATCTGTACTCACAGAACTAATATTGAATCTGTACTCGCGGTACTAATACTGAATCTGTACTCACAGTACTAATACAAAATCTGTACTCGCAGTACTAATACTGAATCTGTACTCACAGTACTAATACAAAATCTGTACTCTCAGTACTAACACTGAATCTGTACTCGCAGTACTAATACAAAATCTGTACTCGCAGTACTAATACTGAATCTGTACTCACAGTACTAATACTGAATCTGT